GTCTCGCTGTAGACCAGACTGCAATGTGTGTGTCGCTGTGGAGCCAGACCTGTGTGTGTGTGTCTCGCTGTGGAGCCAGACCTGTGTGTGTGTGTCTCGCATGGGCCAGACCTGTGTGTGTGTGTCTCCTGTAGGCCAGACCTGTGTGTGTGTGTGTCGCTGTAGACCAGACCTGTGTGTGTGTGTGTCTCGCTACCAGACCAGACCTGTGTGTGTGTCTCACTGTGGAGCCAGGCCTGTGTTTGTGTCTCGCTGTAGAGCCAGACCTGTGTGTCTCACTGTAGACCAGACCTGTGTGTGTGTGTCTCGCTGTGGAACCAGACCTGTGTGTGTGTGTCACTGTAGACCAGACCTGTGTGTGTGTGTCTCACTGTAAGACCAGACCTGTGTGTGTGTCTCGCTGTGGAGCCAGACCTGTGTGTGTCTCGCTGTAGGCCAGGCCTGTGTGTGTGTGTCTCACTGTAGGCCAGGCCTGTGTGTGTGTGTCCACTGTGGAGCCAGACCTGTGTGTGTGTGTCTCATATGGAGCCAGACCTGTGTGTGTGTGTCTCGCTGTAGACCAGACCTGTGTGTGTGTGTGTCTCACTGTAGACCAGACCTGTGTGTGTGTGTGTCTCACTGCCGGAGCCAGACCTGTGTGTGTGTGTCTCACTATGGAGCCAGACCTGTGTGTGTGTGTCTCACTGTGGAGCCAGACCTGTGTGTGTGTCTCACTGTGGAGCCAGACCTGTGTGTGTGTGTGTCTCATGGAGCCAGACCTGTGTGTGTGTGTCTCACTGAGCCAGACCTGTGTGTGTGTGTCTCACTGTGAGCCAGACCTGTGTGTGTGTCTCACTGCTTTAGACCAGACCTGTGTGTGTGTGTCTCACTGTAGGCCAGACCTGTGTGTGTGTGTGTGTCTCGCTGTAGACCAGACCTGTGTGTGTGTGTGTCTCACTGTGGAGCCAGACCTGTGTGTGTGTGTCTCGCTGTAGACCAGACCTGTGTGTGTGTGTCTCGCTGTAGAGCCAGACCTGTGTGTGTGTGTGTCTCGCTGTGGAGCCAGACCTGTGTGTGTGTGTCTCGCTGTGGGCCAGACCTGTGTGTGTGTGTCTCACTGTGGGCAGACCTGTGTGTGTGTGTCTCACTGTGGAGCCAGACCTGTGTGTGTGTGTGTCTCACTGTGAGCCAGACCTGTGTGTGTGTGTCACTGTGGAGCCAGACCTGTGTGTGTGTATACCACTGGGCCAGACCTGTGTGTGTGTGTCGCTGTAGACCAGATTACCAGCCAATGTGTGTGTCTCGCTGTGAGCCAGACACTGTGTGTGTGTCTCGCTGTAGACCAGACCTGTGTGTCTCGCTGTGGAGCTGAACCTGTGTGTGTGTGTCTCGCTGTAGACCAGACCTGTGTGTGTGTGTGTCTCGCTGTGAGCCAGACCTGTGTGTGTGTGTCTCACTGTAGGCCAGACCTGTGTGTGTGTGTGTCTCGCTGTAGAGCCAGACCTGTGTGTGTGTCACGCCTGTGGAGCCAGACCTGTGTGTGTGTGTGTCTCGCTGTAGACCAGACCTGTGTGTGTGTCTCACTGTAGACCAGACCTGTGTGTGTGTGTCTCGCTGTGGAGCCAGACCTGTGTGTGTGTGTGTCTCGCTGTGGAGCCAGACCTGTGTGTGTGTGTTTCTCATGGGCCAGACCTGGCGCCAGTAGTAATGTGTCTCGCTGTAGACCAGACCTGTGTGTGTGTGTGTCTCGCTGTAGACCAGACCTGTGTGTGTGTGTGTCTCGCTGTAGACCAGACCTGTGTGTGTGTGTGTCTCGCTGTAGATTAGACTTGTGTGTCACTTGTGTGGGTGGACTATGTCCGCTGGGGATCTGTCTTGTGAAGAAAGTTCTGAGTTGGTGGCGGTTGTCCACCTTCCCCTGCTGGTCCCTGGGAACATGTTAGAGGGACAAGTTTTAGTCTTAGCAAATATTCAGCCCTTACTAACTGTTGCTCTCTTTATATGTTTCTCATTACAGAAAGAATGTTTCCTACACATGATTATATAATAGTAACACCTCCCCTAATTTCAAGTTTTGCCTAACAGACTCTTCTAGTATGGTCGTTCAGAGAATTTGATTTGTTCCTCATTTTATCTTCCTTGTTGTGGATGTTATTCTTTTTTTAAGGCATTTAATGCTGTCGACATAATGGTAGGATGCTGGTCCTCCCCATTGTTCTTCCTCCACCGGAAAATGCTTCCTGGTTTGTTTATTTATTGCTGAGTGTTCGGTTGGTGTACACGTAAGAAATATATATATATATATATATATATATATATATATATATATATATATATATATATATATATATATATATATATATATATATATATATATATATAAAACGAAGAGGAGAACCAGGGAAAACACAAACACAAACATCTTGACTAAGTTTAGCTTTTTTAAATCGCTAACGTTTCGGAAATAATAAATTCAATTCAATTTCAATTGTTTATTCCTTGATAGAGGAAGCGGGATCCTAGTGTCACTAGGTAGCCCTGTACAATAACACCAGAAGCATCTGGCAAGTGTGACAAGTATATACAATATAAATATTATAAAGGGGTGTCGGAAATAATAATTTTCCATCATCAGAGCCTAGAAAACAAAAGTTTTGAAAAAGTTTTAAAAATACAGGTGATATTTCCGCAACGTTAGTGATTAAAAGAAGCCCAACTTAGTCAAGATGTTTGCGTTTTCCCTAGTTCTCTTCGACTGTATATATATATATATATATATATATATATATATATATATATATATATATATATATATATATATATATATATATATATATATATATATATATATATATATATATATGCCTTGTTTTGTAAATCTTCTTCGTCTTTACTCACCCCTGAAGATGTGAATTACACGAAAGCGCTTGGGAACTTCGTGTTTTCTTGTTTCCTTGTGGTTATCAGCATATACCTGGATCGCGCGCACCTACAGATTTACTTGCATATATATATATATATATATATATATATATATATATATATATATATATATATATATATATATATATATATATATATATATATATATAATTTACAACATCTTTGGAACACGTAATTCGTGAGTGTTGTCTACAATATAAACAGCACAGAGGCAGAGGTAATAATAAGATGGATTTTGTAGTGAGCCGTGGCCTCCACGCCGTTGTCTCTTCGGTGAAGTAACAAAACACATCTGAAAAAATGTGTAAACTTGTCAGAAACGGTTTGTTTGTGCTGACATAGCTCAGAGATGGCTCTTGTTCACACAACGTAGAGGCCACAGCTTACCTGTCATTTTCTGACTACTTCTTCCTCTGGATGTGAATTCTCTGTTTGAAAACAATATATTATCAGATTTATATATGTTATGATTGTCTTTATTTCACAGGCCCAAGACGACTCGGTTTTTACTTTTAAGGTTTTATGAAGTTGAAACTGGGCCTCAAAGGCCTGACAGCCCATTAGGGACACTGGATACTGTACACTGAACTGTGTACTAAGCACCGTGGTCGGTACTGCATTTTACTGCTTTCACGTCCTCAACTTTACCCATTTACAGTGTGGTGGACTGGGAGGGGCCCAAGATCGAACCAACGACCTTTAGGGAAGGAGACGAGCGCTGTATCCACTCATCCGCCGCACCCTGTAAAGGTTCTAATGACTGACACCATGACTGCTGTGAGTCAGGTGTTTCTTGCATGGGAGCAACTAGTCTCAATTACACGCTTGGTGTTTGTATTACATGCACAAAAAATCAAATACCAATTTTACGTCACAATAAATAATGGAATGTGAGTAAAACTTCTTGAAATCGTTACAAAAATAGAAGGCTTTAATACAGCACATGATATGCGCTAAACTCTACAGTCTTCATACAACATATGAGCAAAGCAGATGACGCCCACGGTCACTTCCTCAACTTGCAAAGAGAAAGTTGGTCCCATAGGCAAGACTGCCCTAGTGTGGATAGACATAGTGCACTGTACATTATACTAAGCCTTCGGTACACAAGGAGGCAGCATGGCCGGTACCACACTCGAATGCATTCACTTCTCCAAGTTGTAAACTTCGGTACCCATTTGTAAATGGTTGAAGAGGTAGTGCCCAGGATCGAACTACCAACCTATGAAATAGGAGGCGAGCGCTGTATCCACTCGGCCACCGCACTCCATTCTCAACTTAATGCTTTATGAATAGATTATTATTTTATTTTATTTTTTTTAGTTTTCAACACCTGATATGCCATTCTTATAAGCTCATTAACCACTTGTGTAATGGATTTCCTCTGTGCTGAATATAACCGAGCAGCGTCCACATAGTGAAGGGGTCAACAGTTTTTCTTTTATATATTTTTTCGTCGGTAACAGAAGCTCTGACGGACGCGTAAGAAAACTATTAACCCTGTACAGTACAGGATTTAATTTGATGATTTTCCAAAGAAAATAAAAGAAAAAATCAGTTGGAAAAACAAACCAATTGGAAGAAGAATATAACAGATGAAAACTTTAAGGATGACAACAGAATCGTAACCTCAAAAAATACTCCTTTAAACCTGCTCAGTGTCTCAAGGCCGGACGATGTTGCCACACAGTGTTCTCTAGGTTGACGGGTGTTGCCATCAGCTGCTCATACAGTTACTGTTATTTCCGTGTTGAACCTAGTGAGACGTTTGTATGTCTGTCTCGGGGGAGTTGCGTGTGTGTGTGTGTGTGGGTAGAGGTTTGTGTAGGGTGTCGAAGTGTGTGTGAAGGTCTAGAGGTATGTGTGAGGTGTAGAGGTGTGTGGAGTGTGCAGAGGTAACTGTGGGGTGTAGAGGTGTGTGTGGGGGTGTTGTGGTGTGTCTGGGGTGTAGAAGTGTGTGTGTGTGTGTGTGTGTGTGTGTGTGTGCAAGCGTCTAGTGTGGCAGCATTATGCTAGTGTTACGGTGCAGGCACTGCTTTCTTCTTCTCGCTTTCAGCTACCGCTGTTGGCTAGCCCTCATGATGAACTGGGAAGCAACCTTGCTTAAGTTTTCCCCTGCCAGTAACAGCCTCTTCACCATCAAGCCTCCTGCTGTGCCTTCTCGTGGAAACACAGGTAATGGGTGCCTCGCAGCCCCAGGCTAGACCAGCAGGGGATCTCGGAGCAGCAATGGGCCCCAGAGGGATGGTTCATAGGCCCACTGGCATATGGATAAACCAGGGCACCTACCAACCACTGCCCAGCTTCCTTGCAGATTAACCTTGGGAGGTATAAGGCTACGGGAGTAAACCACAAATTAAAAATCTACGTTGGAACCCGGCATCAGGCAGGCATGCTTACAGTGGAATAGTTGGAAGAGGTGACCAACACGGGAGCCCAACGACTTCACTGGCGGATTAAAGCAAAGCTTGATAGAGAGGTTATTTAGGTGAAATCCAACAAACTGGGCTATTGGCAGTCCATTGCAACTCTCCCTCTCCCCAGTCGTTGCAGCTAACTGCACCACTGGATCAGGAAAAGGGAGAGCCAAGATGTGTGGTTGTAGCCTGCGCTGATGCCTCACCGCATAAATCAACTCACGTGCAGCTATCATCTAGCTCATCAAACTTTTCATTATCATCAAAACCCCTAAACCACCCAAAGTTCTATGGCAACAGACCAGTGGCGATGGGATAGGCAGAGATGACTACCAGTAGTTTCTAGTCACAACTCTGTACATGGACGGTATAGATAAGATGGTCATTTATGCACTGGGATCTAGGCAGCAGTGCAATCCAGTCCTGTCTGTGCGAATGAGCAGCCCTTTCCAGGAGCCAATCTGCTCATCCCACATGGGGAGGTGTTTGAAAAGGTGCCCTAAACATAGCCTGCCTAAAAATCAACCTGGCTGAGCATTCCTCACCCAGTAAGGTCGCCCTAATGCTGTCGAAAACATAATCATAATCACAGATCAAAACAAAAATATATTATACAACCTCTAATGGTCACTGCATTGAATGTCAGAACCCTTCTGGATACTGGCATGAATGAGCATCCTGAGAGACAAACTGTCCTTGTGGCAAAAGAGCTGTCTCGGTATAACATCGACATAGCAGCCATTAATGATTCCCGGCTCCCAGACGAGTGTCAACTCACAGAATGGGGTCAGTCTATACCTTCTTCTGGAAAGGTAAGCCTGCTGTGGAGAGAAACCATATTTTTGGTGTTGGCTTTCCATTTGCTGACTGAAATGCCTGTTGGGGTCAACGAGTGCCTTATGACGATCCGAGTCCCATTGAATTGCTCAAATCATGCGTTCTTCATCAGTGCATATGCCCCAACCTAGAAGCAGAGGATGACACCAAGAAGGCCTTTTATGCCGACCATGACAAAGTGTTAACCTCTATCCCCAGAGAAGATAAGGTTGTGCTCCTAGGTGACTTCAATGCCAGATTTGGCAGAGATGCTGACTTATGGCAGGGAACCATAGGGAGAAACAGAGTGAGCAATTGTAATCCCAACGGCCTACTCCTCCTCAGCAAGTGTGCTGAACACAAAATCACTATTATTAACACCTTGCTTAGGCAGGCCAACAATTTCAGGGGTTCTTGGCAACTCCCATGATCCAAACATTGGCATCTCACTGACTACATGATTGTCAGAAAAAGAGATCGCCAGGATATCCTCATCACCCGAGCCATGTGGGACAAAGATCAACGGCTTGTCAGATTTTAACTCTCCCTTCATGTCGCCACAAAACGGCTAAGGCAACAAGCTTCCAGAAGAGGTTTTAACACCAAGCAACTGGAGGTTCAAGTGGTAGCACATGCTTTCAGAGAACAACTCGATGATAGGCTGATGAACAGCCCAACAACTAACAATATAAATGCGAGTGCCGAATGGGTTATCTTCGACACTGTCATCACAAACACCTGCAGCAAGACCTTCAGCCAGATCGAAAGAAAGCACCAGAATTGGTTTGATAAAAAGGGTCCGGAAATTGAAGTACTCGCAATACTAAACATACTGTTTTCACTGACTGGCAGAACACCCCAAAGTCTTAAACCAAAACTGATACCTTCAGCAAGAAGAAAGTGATGGCCCAGCACGAACTTCGCAATCTAAAGACCGAATGGTGGAAAAGTAAAGTGTGTGGAACGCAAAAAATTGTGGATCAATGCAAGATGCATGAAGTTTTCAATTTCACTTAAACATCGTATTGTCCAATAACCATTCATGGCGCGGCCCCCCTCCGCTCACCCGATGGTAACTTCCTAATTAAAGGCGAAGAAGGCATCCATCAGCAATGGAAAGAGCACTACCTTTCCATTCTCAACCGAAACACCGATGTGGATGTCCTGACTACTCAGAAAGTCCTTCAGCACCCAGAGCTGACCCACCTCAGCTATCCTCCATCTTGGAATGAGATAGCTACTGCCACCAAGCAGAGGAGAAATAACAAAGCTACAGGGCTTGATGGAATCCCAGCCGAGTCGTATAAAGCAGGAGGACCTCTGCTTACCAGCCATCTCCACCCTCTCTTGGAGAATATATGGGAGAAGGAGGAAGTACCTCAAGAATCATAAAGATGCCTTCATCGTCAATATTTACAATTACAACTGGGTCTCACTGCTGTCCGTAACTGGCAAGATTATCACCCGAGTCTTCCTAAACTGGTTTTTCTCTGGGGCGGAAAACTTCCTCCTAGAATTTCAAAGTGGTTTTAGACTATCACGTGGGACTACTGATGCGATCATTGCTGCCTGCCAAATTCAGAAAAAGTGCAGAGAACAGCGTGACTTCTGCATGGCCTTCATCGACATTATTACAGCCTTTGACTCAGTCAACAGGGCAGCCCTCAGCTGTTTTGACTGCCCACCAAACTTCATCGCCATTGTGAGGCGACTCTACAAAGGCATGAATGGCAGTGTCCTGCACAATGGCACCCAGTCTGAGTTCTTCCCCATCCAAACATGGGTGAAACAAGGATGTGTACTAGCACCAACTCTTTTTTTCATTTTCTTGACTTCCTTTCTTACTCGTGCCAGTGCCAATTTAGCTGGTGGGGTGGACATCCAGTACCGAATGAAGGGGCTTTTCAACCTAAGATGACTCCAGGCAGGAGCAAAGGTGTCTGCCACTTCCATCATTGAACTTCAGTATGTAAACGACCTCACCCTCGTCACTCACACTGAACGCATCTTACAAGAGATACTGAACATCTACGCAGATGCGTATGCACACTTTATCCTTGGGGTGAATGCACATAATTCTTAGATTCTCTTTCAGCCTTCCCATGGTTCAGCCACTCCTCCTCCATCCATCCAGCTCACACTTGTCCACCAATGCGGACATCGATGAAGAGATTCAACATCAGATCAGATACGTATCTCAAACCTTTGGCAGACACTGTACACTTGTAGGAGCTGAAATTATTTCAAAGCTGTACGTATATCGATCAGTAGTCCTCCCCACCCTGCCATATGGCGGCGAGACATGGGTCATATACAGGAGGCACCTAAAGGCATTTTAAAACTTTTACCAATGTAGTCTTATGTTTCATCCTTTGAGTTTGCTGAGAAGACAAGAGAACAAATGCCAGTATTCTTGCTGACACTAATTGTGGGAGCATCGAGACTACCATTATCCATGAACAACTACATTGGACTGGCTATGTTACCCCAATGGATGACAGTGGACTGCCAAAGCAGCTACTTTACAGTCATCTAATGTATGGTAAATGTAACGCTGGTGGGCGACGGGAAATGTATAAGGGTAGTCTTATGATAAACCTGAAAAGAGCTATTTCGATTCCCTCACCTGAGTGACGATTACTCTTCACCTTAACGATTGGAGGAGAATCACACGAGGTGTCAATACTTTCGAGTTAGCCCAACTGCATACCGAGGCAGACAAACCTCAGCGCTGGAGAGACGCTGCCGCCGCCCCTCCCATACTAGATGTAGCTCTCCACACGTGCAACATCTGTGCACGGCCCGGCCAATTCCATGTCGACCTCTCGAGTTACCTCAGAGCTCACCAACCAAGGTGACATCCTTAATAGCTCATTTCATTGTATCATAACTGGATGATCTTCATACTCCATTCCAAATGAGAACAAAGTTGTATTAGTACAGGGTGTTGAAGTGTGTGTAGCGTGTAGAGGGGTGTGTGAATGGGGTGAAACAGGTGTGTGTGTGTGTGTGTGGGTGTAGATATATACACTGACGTGTGTCGTTTGTGTTTCAGATACACAGGGTGTTGTGGTGTTTCTTGGTCACCAACAAGGGGAGCAGCTGGCTAGGCTGGTGGAGAATGGCACAAAGATCTACATTACCATCAACAAAGGCCAAGAAGTGAAGTACAAGATCACCAACATCAATAGGTGAGTACAGCTGCACAGCAGTATTTTGTACAATACTAGCAAGTGGAATACTTCCATGTGCTGTTTTTTCTACAGCAACACTGTCTCGTACAACATTGTCTCCTACAAAATAACATATCAGTATATGCCTTGTCTTGTGTTTGTCAAGTTTCATTTAGTTTGTGATAAATATTTTTCACGTCATCATATTGTAAAGTATTGAATGTTCACGAAACAGCGGAACCCTGTACTATTTGTGACTTAACCCCGGGATGACACTCACGTGGTGCTGGTGTCACACACGGGGTGACACTTACGTGGTGCTGGTGTCAAACACGAGGTTGTGGAGTTACACATGGGGTGACACTCACGTGGTGCTGGTGTCACACACGGGGTGACACATACGTGGTGCTGGTGTCACACACGGGGTTGTGGTGTTACACATGGGGTGACACTCACGTGGTGCTTGTGTCACAAACGGGGTGACACTTACGTGGTGCTGGTGTCACACACGGGGTTGTGGTGTTACACATGGGGTGACACTCACGTGGTGCTGGTGTCACACACGGGGTTGTGGTGTTACACATGGGGTGACACTCACGTGGTGCTGGTGTCACACACGGGTTGTGGTATTACACACGGGGTGACACTCACGTGGTGCTGGTGTCACACACGTGGTTGTGGTGTTACATACGAGGTGACACTCACGTGGTACTGGTGTTACACACGGTGACATTCATGTGGTGCTGGTGTCACACACATTGTGCTGGTGCTACACACGGGGTGACACTCACATGGGCCTGGTGTTACTTATCACACACACACACAGTGACAGTCACGTGGGTCTGGTGTCACGTATCACACACACACACACACACACACACACACACACACACACAGTGACAGTCACGTGGGTTTCGTGTCATATATCACACACACAACCACAAACACACACATAGTGACAGTCACGTGGGTCTGGTGTCACATATCTCACACACACACACACACACACACACACACACACACACACACACACACACAGTGACAGTCACGTGGGCCTGGTGTCACATATCACACACACACAGTGACAGACCACGTGGGTCTAGTGTAACATATCAAACACACAGAGTGACAGTGAGGTGGGTCTGGTGTCGCATATCACACACACAGTGACAGATCACGTGGGTCTGGTGTCACATATATCACACACACAGTGACAGTCACGTGGGCCTAGTGTCACATATCACACACACAGTAACAGTCACGTGGGCCTGGTGTCACATATACACACACACAGTGACAGCCACGTGGGCCTAGTGTCACATATCACACACATGCAGTGACAGTCACGTGGGACTGGGGTCACATATCACACACACACACAATAACAGTCATGTGGGCCTGGTGACACACACACATACAGTTATCAGTTACGTGGGCCTGGTGTCACATATCACACACACCCAGTGACAATCACATGGGCCTGGTGTCACATATCACACACACAGAGACCATTACGTGGGTCTGGTGTCACATATCACACACACCCAGTGACAGTCACGTGGGCCTGATGTCACATATCACACACAGAGTGACAGTCACGTTGGCCTGGTGTCACATATCACACACACACAGTGACAGTCACGTGGGTCTGGTGTCACATATCACACGCACACACAGTGACAGTCACGTGGGCCTGATGTCACATATCACACACAGAGTGACAGTCACGTTGGCCTGGTGTCACATATCACACACACACAGTGACAGTCACGTGGGTCTGGTGTCACATATCACACACACCCAGTGACAGTCACGTGGGCCTGGTGTCACATATCATACACACCCAGTGACAGTCACGTGGGTCTGGTGTCACATATCACACACACACACAGTGACAGTCACGTTTGCCTGGTGTCACATATCACACACACCCAGTGACAGTCACGTGGGTCTGGTGTCACACACACCCAGTGACAGTCACGTGGGCCTAGTGTCACATATCACACACACCCAGTGACAGTCCTGTGGGTCTGGTGTCACATATCACACCCACACAATGACAGTCACGTGGGCCTGGAGTCACATATCACATATCACATACACGCCTGGATGTTCAAGTCCCAGCAGATGTGGAAGCATTATGGGTACGTGTTGTGCCACCAGCCCACCCGCGCCACACTGCTTCCATCATAATCTGTGTGGCATACCATCCGCCTCGCTCACCCACCAGAGACACTCTTATCAATCATCTCATTACCACCTCAGACCACCTCAGAGTTAGGTACCCATGTGCCAAGTTAGTATTATGTGGGGATTTTAATGAAATTGACACCACTGATATCCAGGACCAGCTATCACTATCACAAGTTGTGACCTTCCCCACACACGGTCAAAATACCCTTGACCTTATCTTAACTGACTTAGCGGACCAGTACCAACCACCTCAACCAATGCCTCCTATCGGGTGTAGCACACACTTATCAGTGCTCTGGTCCCCAGCTGCCACTCCCACTCAAGTACAGAGACCCTACATCAAGACCTACAGGCCGATTACTGACTCTGCAGTGCGCCTCTTCGGGCAGTGGATAGTTCACCATCCCTGGACTGAAGTACTTAGCGTGGATGACGTGGAAACCAAATGGATAAATTATACCAACACCACCACGGAAGCTCACCACCACTTCTTCCCCGAGAAGTCCGTCAGATCTCACCCAGCTGACTTGCCCTGGATCACACCTCGGATCAAAAGACTTATGCAACAGAGAGACAGAGCCTTTCATCTCAATGACCACATCCGCTACAGGTCCCTTCGCAACCGAGTCATCCGCGAAATACGCACTGCAAAGAAGTCCCACTACCCAACCAAATTACAACACCTGAAGCAGACCAACATCAGTCAATGGTATGGTAAGCTTAAAGAACTCTGTGGACTAAACAATAAGACACACCCCCTCCCCTTCCTTAGCCATCTCACTAATGTTGACGCAGCTGAGCAAATAAATAACCATTTCGCTACTATATGCCAGACGCTCCCCCGGCTTGACACAACCACTCTCCCTGCTTACCTACCAGCCCCCCTTCCCACTGACTTAGTAGAAGAATTTGAAGTAGCAAAACGCCTGGACAAATTAAAATTAAAACGCTCTACCACCCCCATTGACTTACCAATGAAACTCTTCAAGGAGTTCTCCCCGGAACTTGCTAAACCCCTATGCTCCATCATCAATGCTTCTCTCAGTCAAGCCAGATGCCCAGCTGATTGGAAGACCTCTTATGTATCACCAGTGCCCAAGTCAACCAGCCCACAATCCTTAAATCAGCTACGACCTATTGCAATCACCCCAATACCCAGCCTAATCTGTGAAAGCTTTGTGTTCGACTGGGCTTATGCTGATATTGCAGGAGTTGTAGACCCTCAGCAATTTGGCAACATGAAAACTTCCTCCACCACTCACTGTCTTGTCAGCTTTCTCGATTACATATACCGCCATCTCGAGAAACGAAAAACGTCTGTAGCTGTCGCCTTCATTGATTTCACTAAAGCATTCGACCTGGTCGACCACAATATAATCATCAACAAAGCTATTGACCTCGGGCTTCGGAGAAGTCTTATACCATGGCTTACAGACTTCCTCAGTGACCGACGCCAAGCTGTACGCTTCCGAGAGGCTGTCTCCACCTTTCAGTCACTCACCTGTGGCGTCCCCCAAGGCACCAAGATGGGACCACTCTGCTTCCTTATGCTCATCAATGATGCCCTAAGAGAAACCCCTGCTCGCTGGAAATATGTCGACGACTCCACCATTGGGGTCAGCGTCAACAATTCTGTCCCAACTATACCGCCCTTCAGGATTTATTGAACAGTCTCCAAAACTGGGCCACCAACAACCATGTCACCATCAACCATACCAAGACCATGGTTATGCACATCAACCTCTCCTCCGACATTGTCCCACCTTCTTCCATTACTCTAGGTCCGAACACACTCCAGGTTGTAGATTCCACGAAGCTCCTCGGCGTCACCATAGACAACAAACTAAATTGGAAACCACACATCAGTGAAGTTGTCAAATCCTCCAGTTTCCGTCTCCACCTCCTCTGCCGACTCAAGTCCCTCGGAGTTCCTGCACCCGAGCTCCTCAGTGTTTACACAACATTCATACTTCCCAAGCTCACCTATGCCTCCCCCACCTGGTCTTCCTCATTAAATGCCACACAACGTAAACACCTAGAAAAAGTGCAAAAGAGGGCATGCAAGATTATTCTCTCCCCTTCCTAATCCACATATCAAGAAGCGCTCAACACACTGACCCTTTCGACTCTCACTGACCATCACCACGACCTCATCTGCAAATTTGGTAAGAAGCTTCTACACCATCCTCGACACCGGCTCCTACTACCACCTGAGATCCCTAGCCCGAGAATTGCTGACACCACAACCGCATCCAGCCCATACGTGCACGAACTGATCGCTATAAGAACAGCCCAGTACCAACCATTGTAAAAATTATCAATAACTTGTAATAAACCAGTGTACTCACTCCCAGTAAACACTACTCCTTGCACTGTCACTATGTTGAAATGAACTGTAGTTTGAGCTTTTCCCCATCTAGTTATTATATGTCTTATTTGTGTCACTTATGTTACTTGTATATTATTTGTAATTCGAAACCCATTCCCCAAATATGTAACTGTATATTTTCAGCCTTCTGGCTGCCAAGCTCTTTCAATAAACCGTTAATTATTATTATTATTATTATTACTATATGTTGGTATGGTGTCACATATCACACACACAGTGACAGTCACGTTGGCCTAGTGTCACATATCACACACACAGTGACAGTCACGTTGGCCTGGTGTCACATATCACACACACCCAGTGACAGTCACGTGTGGTCTGGTGTCACATATCACACACACACGGTTACAGTCATGTGGGTCTGGTGTCACATATCACACACACCCAGTGACAGTCATGTGGGCCTGGTGTCACATCACATACACACATTTACAGT